GAATAACGCAGCTGACGCTCTCTCACACTCTCATTTGCAGGTATTTTCAGAGTTCGTCCGTTAGCAAACTCGCAACCCAGGGAGCCTCCAAGCTTCACAGTCCTAATTATGTGTTAAAAATACTCTGTTGCTCCATAGTAGGTCGCACGCACAGGCTGGATATTCCTTAATTTAAGAAAGCCTATTCCAAGAGCGTATCAGTTGTTTAAAGATTTGTTTGTGATTATTGTGTAATAATGTTTTCCATTTGAAACTATGTTCACATTTACAACTTTTGCCACTTTTCTCTTAAATTAGTTTACAATACTATCAAACCTTACTTGACAAGCATACTCGTTTATCGATTACTCATAACAAAACGATCCAAACTGGTCCACCAGTAGAGATTAAATATTATCCTACCTCTACCAAATTATGTCCTATCCATGTTTTGGATAATCTACAGGAATCTCAACTCACTTCCATCCCTGATTCCCCACTATTAGCTATTCTAGGGAAACCCCTAACCACTAAACAGTTATGCTTTACATTCGTATGATATCACTCCAACCAGAACTTAACCCACATTCCTTCACAGGCCATTTATTCTGCATTGGAGCAGTCACAGCTGCCTCCGGAAATCATGTACCAACTCGTATCATTAAAAAACTATGGGTCGGAGGAAATCATCCACATACAACAGATACATCCCCAATCCTGAGAAAGTAATAAGATTGGCTTTCCGTGAAATATCTAAATAATGAATTGCTTAATAAATGTATCTGATTTTTAAGAATTGTTTCTTATATTTCTGCCCTCTTTTACAGGTCTAACCTCACGTCAGTTTCGGCACACCTTAACTGACTTTGCTCTTACTACTTCTGCTTCTTTTATCATAGGTCCATGCGTCCTCGAAATGTGCCGTACACAAATATATACATAAATAAAAATAATAAAAAATACATATATACATATAATTAAATAACTTTACACTTAGAATTTAAATACATATATATATATATATATATATATATATATTTATTTATTTATTTTCAATTCTACATGCATAGTTATGTAACCTTTTTACATAATTATGTGATTTTATTCATTACAATTTGAGGGACCTGCCTGACACCCCAAATCCAGAGAATTTAATTGCAAGTCCTATAACTTTCCAAAACACAATAGAACTTGTACATGGATGGGTACTGTTGTACTCAGGAGACTTCACTGAACACAAATATTAGTGTTTCAAAACAGTAAAACATATCACAATGATAATATCATCAGTGAAAGTACAGTTTGTGTGAAAAATGCAAAAAAAACAATATGAACGCTAATTTTTACCAGCGTTTGTGACTACTACTAAATGGCTACTAAAAAAGACTGGACATACCCCAATTGAATACTCTGTTGTTGTCTACTATTACAAATGGTATGCTATGATGGGGTTCATTTTCAATCCTGGGCTACCATACAATTTCAAAGGTAACAATCAATCTGACAAATTTTGATGTGCAAAAACAGAAATGGGCAAGTAATATTTGACCCTGTAACTTTTCAAAACACCATGAAACAAGTACATCGGGGGTACTGTTGTACTCATAAGACATTACTGAACACAAACATGAGTGTTTTAGAGTAGTACAACATATAATGCTGATTATATAATTTGTGAAAGGGCAGTTTGTTTGTGAAAAATATAAAAAAACAAATATGAATGCTGATTTTGGCCACCGTTTGTGTCTAAGTGGCTACTAAAAAAGACTGGACATACCCCATTAGAAGACCCTGGATTGCCTACTTTTTTTTCAAATGGTATGCCATGATGGGGGTAAATTTCATTCCTGAGCTGCCATATGGTCTCAAGGGCAACATAAGCAAAGCAAACCAAACTGTCAAATTTGTGTATAAACTTAAAAAAGAAATAGCCCTATATTTAACACTGTAACGTTCTAAAACTCCTTAAACCCTGTACATAGAGGGGACAGTTGTACTCATGAGACATCGCTGAACACAAATATGTGTATTTTATGCTGTAAAATTCCCAGATTTTACTATTAACATGATGTAAAGTCATGAATTTTTTATTAAAAGCACAGAGGCATGTATCATGCACAACTCTTTCTTTAATTCCCTCAGCAGCAAAGATAGAGGAATGTAAATATATCAAATTGAGAGTAAAAACTGTATAGTAACACAAGCAACCAAACACATAACAGAGGTAGTAACTATAAAAGGCTTGTGTTTCCCAAGATCCCCCTCTTTCTTGTGAAAACTGAAGACCAATAACCATGAACTGAACTCAACCGCCGGAACCAACAAGAAACCAGATTGGAATGATAACTTCAAGCTAAAGGGGAGAGAGAAAAAATATGGTAATTTCCAAACTCCAAACTGGAATACTCACAAAACAACTCTGTTATTATCCAGCTCAGGTATTCAAACCTATTAAACAGAACACATAATTAATGAATAATTATAACATGAAACCCATATAAACAGCCAAACCTGTACAAGGAAAACAAATTCCAAACAAAATATTTACCGTATCATCCAACTGTTGTCGCATCAAAAACACCCTCATAAACAGGAGGGCGGGTGGGAATAATACTCACCTCCGTGTCTTTAATAAAATCATGACTTTACATCATGTTAATAGTAAAATATGTGAATTTTATTAAAGAGACGGAGGCTCCTATTATGCAAGTTTAAAGCGCTCAGCTTTAAACTTGCATATGTGAGATGCAATGTGATCAATTGGTTTGAAGTAGAAATCACGGAAAGTCAATCCCCGTGACCAATCAGCAACCCGCAGAATATCCTCAAGATGACAACCAACCGCCAAAGCCTTTGATGCCATGGCTCAATGCACCGAATGTGGCGTAAAAACCGACGTGTTAATGCCTGCCAAGGACAAAAACCAGCGAACCCAAAGCACCAACGTAGAAGTCGACACCAGAAGATGAGGAGTCCAGAAGGAAATAAAAAAAGGGGTGTAGATCTGGAGAACGAAGAGATTGTGTAGGGTATCCTATTGTGGGGGTAGTGAGGCTGAGGGTGGAGGGGGTGAGGCTGTGGGTGGTAGTGAGACTGAGGGTGGTATCAAATCAGCAGCAGCTACACTGTCCCTCCTCTCACTAAGAATGCAGCTTCACAATGAATGTAAAATGGATGCTGTCCAGGAGGTGGGAGGGTCTGGGAGGGAGGGTCTGCTGCTGATTGGCTGGAATGTGTCTGCTGACTGTGAGGTACAGGGTCAAAGTTAGGGGGCGGACCGAACAGCGCATATGTTCCCCATCCGTGGCGAACGCGAACAAGTGATGTTCGCCAGGAACTATTCGCCAGCGAACCGTTCGGGACATCACTGTATATAATATATACCATAAAAATAATTCCCACAGTAAGTGAAAATAATGGGGAAGAGGAGATACAATCTCTAATATAAAATAATAAATACCTTATATAATTGTAGATTCGAAAGAATTATCTTAAAATAATAGAAAGTGCATATTACTTATTGAATTGGAAATATTGTTAATAATAAAAAAATATTTTTTTAAAAATATATTAAAATTGTACTAAAATCCTATTCCCCATTTTAATAGATATGATGTATGTGGGAGTATGGTCTATGATGTTTAAAAGTGACAAATCTGAAAATCTGAATTTAATTCATTGGGGATAGGTGTATTACAATTAAAAATAAACCTAATTTCCTCTTTTCATAATTCCTTAATGTAGTCTCTTCCCCTCCAGTCTTTATTAACCAATTTTAAGGCACAGAAGAATAGACCTTCTGGGCTTTAATTGTGCACCATCTTAAAATGTTGAGAGACTGAGTGAGTGTCCAGACCCTTTTTAATATTGCGGATATGTTCCGCAATTCTCACTTTCAATGGTCTTATGGTTCTGCCCATGTATAGGAGGTTGCGGGGCATTTCAAGATGTATATCACGCCCTTGGAATTACATGTCAGGTGTGTAATGGCTACCCAGGTTGTAAGGGGGTATCAGCCACTGGAGACGTCCTTTTTCCTGACAAGCTGCTGTGTAGTAATCCACGAGTAAAGTCAGGCATAGCTGTAAAATGGAGCCAGGTAATTGTGCAGTAAATCCCCTTCCAAGAACGAGACGAGGCTACGTTTTGAAGTGTCAAGCAGAACTAACTTTTATTGACAGGGATTCTCCTTTTATGCAATTCTGCCCTTGGGAGGGCGACACCTACATAATTAGCACAATACCCAATCACAAACATGGTACATCCGACACATCTCCTCCCCTCAGATAAACAGTTAACATAATTATTATACACACATTTTTACCCAAGTTTTGGATGTACCCCCAGATAGACCTCATCTAGGGGAACAACATAGTGAAAAATCATCCCATTCGGTGAAAGCGTTCGGGAGTTATGGGACTTTAAAGTTTTGACCGACCGCATAGGCACACTAGCCAAAAATAGTTCCATAAGTTTTGGCCTTGCAGTCGGTCCTCGTTCGTGCGATGAAAAGGCATGAAAATCCTGCCATCCGTATGTATCTTGCTGATCGCTGGAATCCCTGCACGTAATATATCCTTTCTACCGAACGGCTGAGCTTTCGGTAGCTTCAGCACGAATTTACGATGTTATGGAGGTCTCAGCGGTGTTCGCCTACTCGAGTGTCTGATTTTAGTTCCAGACACTCGACGGCAAATCACTGCTGTTCGTGCGTTAAGATGGCCGCGAACACGTGCAAAGTCCCGAAATGGCGGCCACCTAGGATCTAAAACAAAGGATTCGTGCAAAATATCACATAATTGAACAGCAGGGTGGTCCGGTGTTTGGCAGTTTGAATTTATTTTTGTGCCTGCTGAGTCTCTACTGCATGGATTGCACAAATAGACGAATACTGACAACATAAGTCCCAAACTGTGCTATAATAATCCACATAACCAGGTAAGTATATTCCCTTGTATTATTAGGCTTAGTTATTGTCAAATATGTCCAGGCAGAAAGTACAGTTCTGTTACACTGCTCCCCTTTTGTGGAACACTCCGGCAGACCCGGATTGATCCTTTTCCGGTTGGCTGTCAGGGTAGAAGTTCGGTTTGCCTGGACAGTCCATCCGCGTTTCCATTGAACTTGCCAGGGCGGTATTGGATGGAGAAATTGTAGGGTTGTAGTGCTAAGCTCCATCTCAGCAAGCGTCCATTGTCCCCAGCCACTCGGTTCAACCATACCAGGGGATTATGGTCAGTGATCAGGGTGAATTCCTGACCCTACAGAT